AAAAAAAAAAAAAAAACTACAAATGCCCTCAAACCTCCAAACCCCTCAAAGATTGTGCGAAGTCACGCGGGGACACGACAAGCTGAGGCCAGATGTTTCAGCAGCAGCAGCTTCGTGTCCGAACACACACTCTGAGAATCAAGTGTGTCTGTAATTACAGCCTTTGCTCGTAGCTGCTTCCTCGTTTCCGCGACAAGCGAAGAGAAACGGGAGAGAAAAGATCCTCCGAGAGCCGGCTGGTTTCGCTGTACAACGAGAGTCGCGTCCGTGTGCTGACGAAACAAAATGTCCAACAATGTGTCTGTGCGTCAGGTCGGTAGGAGAGGTCAAAGCCTCCCTCTCCTCCTCCTCCTCCTCCTCCTCCTCCTCCTCGGGTTTAAATGTACAGCTCATCCTCGTTTCATGTGTCTGTAGTGAACGAGCTGAGGATGAGGAGGCCACTCAGTCTGACAGTGTCCGAGCTGTTTCCTGCAGAAAAGACTGATTGCAGACTTCTTTCTAATCACCACTAGAAAAGAAAAAAAAAAAACCCTCTTCAGTCTGTAAGATCCTTCAGAGTGAGTTCTGTCTTTTTTTTTTTTTTTTTTTTGCTCACTGCCCTCCATCTTGTAAACGACTGCATGGTGATGGGTGCAGACAGAGAGGCACTTCTATAATCTCTATCAGGGCTGTTAAGTCTTCTTAGTAACATCAGGATTTGTCTGTCTCTTATGGTGAGTACAAAGGAGGAGGAAAAAGAAGCGAGGGGGAGATGAGGAGGAGCGCTCACCACCCTTAAGTGAGCCGGAGATGAGTGAGAAATTCATTAAAACTCTTTCTATCTACTTTTGTACAATTCAGGCCGCCTTTGTACTCTTTAGAGGAGGATGCAAATTAGCTTCGCTGCTCCAGACAAACAAGTTAGACCCACTGAATGCCATTAAAGATGATGATAATCTGGGCACGTGTGTGATGATGTGAGGCGATGGATGGCAGAGTTACTGGCATAACTGGCACTAGGAGGGCGAGGAGGCTTAGAAAAGGCAGTGTGTAGTTCCTAACGGATAGTAAGAGCAGACTCCCTCTCCGTGGGGCTCGAATGTTAAAAATAAACAAATCGGGCAGAAATTGAATCAATGTACAAACTGAGCTCGGCTATCTCGTAGTGTTTAAGTCACAGCAAAGACTCTCTGTCTGCTGTGATTGATAAGATAACAGGGGCACAAAGGTGTCTTGACTGAGGCCGAGTGTCCACCAAAGTGTTTTTTTTTTTCTTTGCCTGCTGATCGAGTTGAATGCTTCCAGTTGGAGGCTCAGAGTTTTCTCAGCTGAGACGGTTCAGTTGCTCTGACGCTGAATATTTGCAGATGTAATGTGATGCAAGTACCAATCAACTACAAAAATGCTCTTCTAAGCTTTACGCTGCACACGCAACATATGTGGAGTGTTCGTAGAGCAGCTGCTGCGTCACTAAAACAAATAAACTGGCTGAACTAAGTGTGAGAGCTGCATGCGAGTGGTGCGCCGCAAATGTAAAACTAAACCAGCCGACTATTTGTAGTTTTTGCGTCAAGTAAACCTGGACCTTTACTCAGAAACAAGTCACGATGAGCTGATACCAGTATCCAGGAAATCACTACCTGTACCAAATGGAGGCTTCATTTTGGGTCTTGATCACCTTGACGGTGCTTATTTTACAGGACCAGCCGTTGGTTGCTGAGTAACTTCCTCCTTTATAAAATCTACTGAAGTCTGTCGACTTACAAATATGACAGAAACTTGCTGCATTTGAAAACTGAATTCACAACAGTCAGTGAGCTCGCCCTACGCTGTAGATGTGCTGCAGGTGTATCCAGAAAAACAAACTTTGCAGCATGTTGAGTGTTATTTTTCATGTAAATATTGTGGTTGTTGGAGGATGTTACATGGTGCAGATGTGGATACTCAGACAGCAGCAGTATTAACTTCTCCTCTACTGTATTTTAGCTGTTGTAGGATGTGACGATTGGTTTGTGTGGTTCTGGTCCTGTCTTTCCTCCACTGGGTAAAAAGTGATGAGCAAAGATGAGCAAATACTTTTCAACTATTGGCAATCAGAAAAAACGCTCGGCATTTCGTAAAGCCTTTACCGCATCTCATTGTAAAAACTGAAAAAACACGCAGGCCGCAGGAATAAACACTTAGGTGGACACGCACCGTCCTACTGTACATTAGAGGCAACACAGGAACATCTACGTCTCATCATAACTTCTTGCAGCTACTTGCCGACAGTACTGACCAATCATGTTGACGCAAAAACTGCAACAAAACCTGAAAGATAATCTGTTCACTGTTATTTTGTCCTTCATTCTGATGTAAACATGTAGATGTCTCATATGCAGGAAAAGATGATGTTTCTGGTAATTTAAGGAGCTGTGGGGTCGGTTCAAGGTGCCAATAACTCCTTTAATTATTGCACAAAAACAGTTCCTGCATATGACAGATGTACATGTTCAGATTTACGCTGAAAGACAAAATAAAAGTGTTTCTATGTGGTAACGTTGCAGTTTTTAGCTTTAAAAAACTCCCTGCCGGCAAGAACTGACAAGACTTTATGGTCGATCCAAAGCTACTGAACTTGTTGACAGGCTTCCAGAAGAGTGTTTGTGTCTAAGTGAGATCCCCTGTGTGTTTGGTGCATGAAGCTCAGCAGCCGGTGTTTTCCAGAGACAGCTGTGCCGTGGCCCTCTGCAGCTCTGAGCTCGCTCTGCGCTGGGTGGGAGCTGGTGGCAGCATCAGCCCCAGAATAACTCCCCCACCTCTCCCTCCTCCATTCTCTACCTCACCCTCTCTCCTCCCAGCCTCCTCCCTCTTCCCCTCCACCTCCTCCTCTCCTTCGGCCCTCACTTTCTTGTCCTCTGCCTCGTCCCTCTCCCCGTCCGCCTCCATCTTCTGGTCTTCGCTCCAGCGGCGTTTGAAACGAAGCTTGAGCGGGATGCAGCGAGTGCCTCCGGGGCTGATGGGAGACGGCTGGCCCGGCTCGCTCTTCAGACCGATCAGAGGGAAGGCCAGGCCTCCGCTGCCCGGCGGAGGAGTGGCTGGAGTCTTGAAGACCTCCTCGTCATCGTCGTCGTCGGGGAGAGGAGGAAGAGGAGCAGAGGGGCTGCTGCTGTTTCCGTTGGCCTGGTGGTGGTTGTTGAGCTGGTGATGACGGTGGCGAGCTGTCGGGGTGAAGATGTCGCCTTCGTCATCCTCGTTGTTGTGATTCAGCTCATCTTCCTCGCTGATATCAGTCACCTCCACCTCTTCTTCAGATTCAATGTCTGAGATGGGTTCCACCTGGGAAGGATAATTTTAGAATGCAGCATTTTATTCTCTACTGATCAGATGTATCTTGTACTTAAAATATTCTGAATTAAAACGAAACAGAAACTTCACATGTACATACAAAGTAGGAATGCAAATTGTGAACAATTGCTTAAACAATATGTGGCAGCGTTACAAATCAATAATCAATTGATAACAAGAACTGAGAACAGTGAACATCTCTTGCTGATATTGCTGTTTTTGTCAACGGACAGAAAATGTTAGCTGGAAAAGCAACACCAAGCAACAGGCTCGATGTCTTAATAGATTCCAACTTATCTGAGTTAGAGTCAAAACAAGTCTTTGTCATGGCTAAATAGCTAAATGAGGCTAATGCTATAGCAAATCAAAGAGAGCATTGTTTAGCATTAGCCTCATTTAGCTACACCTCACTATCATTCTGTTTAGGGTAAATAAAAACGCTCTGGTTTGCTTGTAAACCAATCAGAGATAGAGGAAGGATGTTGCTTAGGTGTTGCCTCAAAATAGTGACAGAGTTATTTTGGTTGAACTTTTGCAAGTAGAGAGGCGAGAACTGGGATAAACATGACTAATTAACCCCTCAAAAAATAGCAGCAGTGCCTTTCTGCATGATCCACATCCTTGACTTCTCAGGCTGCTGCCTGAAGGGTATTGTTTTCCGTAGTGGATTCTAAAACCAGTAACAAATAATGGAAAGAGAAGAGAAAAGTTGGTAACATAAGTTGCCAATGGCAGGCTTATACTAGCATCCTACATCTGTTGAGTTAAACTCCACCTGGTGGCGCAACTGGGTACTACAGCGAATCCACAATACATTTTCTAACATGCATGTCCTTCACTTTCTGCCTAGTCAGCTAATCTATTTGTATTCTGATGGCTTATGAGCAGCATCTTACCGATTAACTGTTGATAGATAACATCCTTGTCTGGGAGACTTACCTTGATCTTCGGAGGCCCCCCAGCGAGGATAGAACTGCTTAGCTGACCAGATACTGTGAACGAGGAGGACTGGCTGGAGGAAGAGGAAGAAGAGGAAGTAGCCAATGAGCTCCCTGCTTCCCTCTGTTTGCGGCCGAGTGGCGGTGGCTGCAGCTTGAACTTGAACTGTGATGGGTGCTGGTGCCCGTCCTCGCCGCCTCCTGGCTGCTGACTCAGCGAATGAGCGAGCGGCATGGGCGGGCCGTGGAGGTGATGGGCGGCCGGTTTCTCGGGGGTGGGGCGGTGGGGCTGGGGAATGACGATGTTGGGGTAGTGGAGGAAGGCTCGGGGGCTGAGGTGGTAGTTGAAGACTGACTGGGTGTGGGCCTGCAGGTAATGCTTCATGTCCTCCGGGTTGAAGGAGAAGTGGGAGCCCACCATGGGGGACGACAGAGAGGGGGACGGGGTATAGGGCAGGTGTGGAGTGGGGGTCATAGACAGGGCAGGGGACAGAGTTGGAGCCAGCAGACCTCCGGGGCCAGGCAGGGGTGAGACTGGGAACGGGGACAGAGGCTCTGGGTGGACCCTGGGTGCAGGTCTGGGGAGCCCTGCTGGGTTTGGGCCCCCTCCGTAGACCCTGAACAGAGAATCATGAGGCAGGCGGGGAGGAAGGAGACCCCTGAAGGCCCTCTCCGGCCCCACAGCCCTGTCCTCGGCACCCACGGCCTCCTCCAGCTCAGAGTTGGTGGAGGTGCCGTCGCTGCAGTCGCTTACGGAGCCGCGGGCCATGCGGCGGGCGACGCTGCTGAACATGCCCGGGCTGCGCAGCTCCTCGCTGGACGACAGGACCTCTGATGGGGTGGAAGGAGGGAAACGGAAGTGGGTGCCTCCAGTTGGCACAGGAGGGGCGCTCTGGGGGACTCCTCGACCTGAGAGGAAAAAACAAATCTTTACTGAGTGTATTCGTTTGTACTGCTGAATTAACAGAAAAAAAAGGAAGGTTCATTATGGATGCGGTGCTATAAATTAACCCCCTGAACTCCTAGAAGTTTTTGTGCTTCTGTCACATTTTTTTTCTCACTGTGGGCTCATTTTTTGCTGCAACAGAAAGTCCTGCACCTTTATGGAAACAGCATGGCTAGAATTTTAAAAAAATCTAAAGGTCTTTTGTTTAGTATGACACAGTTATATTGGCATGAATCATATAAAAGGCAAAACAAATGCTGAATTTCTTTCATTTATTTACCAAAAGAAAAAAGAAAAGAAGAATCCACATATGCCCACAGGTGTTACCAGTTCTGGAAAATAACAAACAGGCCCCACTAGTGATAGATATTTTATTATTACATCTTTAATATGTTGCCATCCTATTTACTCCATGTAAACACTGCCTGCAGTTCAGCCAAAAAGTACTGAAAGTTTTCTCCCGTAACTGTTGCTTCAAGGTTGCACAGTGGAGCGCAGAATTTTGTTTCATTTACAGAATCTGGTTAGCTCAAGCAACTTCTTTTTGGCGAATTTTAATAATTTCGAAGGACTGTCAGGTTAAAAATCCGATGATTCTTTCTGTTTCTGGCTCTAATAAATGGTTGTATTTCAATGATTTTTAACATTTATTTCAAACCTACTGGTGGGGTTTGAGGTTCAGAGGGATAAAATAGTGAGTCACAAAAAAAAGTCATTCACAGTTGTACTGTCTGAGCAGAAATCTCAGACAGATATAGTCTGGACAAGGAAGAAAAAAAACTGCATGGAGTGAAAAAACGTTTTTCATTTCTAAATTTGGATGCACCAGCCCTTAAAACTGAAGAGAATGGGAAAAGTAACTAATGAGCGTAGGTTTTATTTTACCCAGAGGGTTGCAGGCGCACACAAAGAAAACAGCGGGTTACACTAAGCCACAAGTTCCCTTCTCTTTCAACCCTCCTCCCTCCTCGCTCTCCCTCTTCTGCCAGGGAGACTGTGGCACTGCAATAAATTCTTGGCATCCGAGCACGTGCCAGAATTAAATATTGGAAAAGTCGCTCTTACTGCCATCACAAACATGGGTTGGGTTCCTCTGTTTTTTCCAGAGCTGCTGAGCGAGTGTGTGTGCGTCTCCTCTTTTAAAAAGCATTTGTGTCAGAGATGATGAGCGGAGAAAAGCGTTGTGTTTATCCGTCGTGGATATTTGTGGGCGTCTGTGCTCGCCTATCAATCCAGACTGACGTGGGCATTTGTGTGTGTAACCGTCGTATGAAACCATCATATCACAACATGTCAGTGTGTGGGCCACATCACACGGTGGCTATAATTAAAGTTTCGTGCTGCACTTATGTCACCCAGTATCCAACGCTCCATATGGGCTGTGTTTACACTGGGTGGCCGGGACCAGAACGAGAGACGACTTCAGAGGAGGGAGGAGAGGGATAAACGTGGCACGCTCATGTCTTCAACACACACACACACACACACACACACACACACACACACACACACACACAGTAACCATGCACACATGTATGTGCACTTACAACCACACTAATTCTGTCTGGTAACTGATTAGTTCTTGAACTACAGCAGCATCTATCTAAAAACTGGGGTACATCTACTTCTACTGCGAACCAAGGTTGGATGCAGGAACTGTCTGTCACCTATGAAGACCAATTTAGAGTTTCCACATCCCTGGGCAGACTTTGAAAGCAAACCGTCTGTGGTTTGATGCATTTGATGCACCGTGTTACTGTGATTATTCCTGAGGTGTGCCGAGCAGTGGGCGAACATAACACAGGATTTCTGGAGAATTTAGAACTTTCCACTATGTTTGGGCCTGCCAATGGAAACCTACATATCAAAGCACCTCCAAAGGCTGACTATTCTAATTACAACCCTTTCAATATTTAATTATAAATTTGATGGATGAGCAGTAGAAAGACATAACAGAGGATTTCTGGAGATTTTAGTGCTTCCCACTGTCTTTGGCCACCTTCAATGGAAATCATGTCAATCAATATTTTAATTGAAACTCTTTTAATACTCAAATATAAAGGTGTGGATGGCAGATGAGCTGTGTATGAACATAACAGGACTTCTGGAGAATTTTAAACTTCTCACTATGTTTGGTCACCATCAACATAAAGCATGTGGCTCCAAATGGCAGCACCTTCACAGTCCAGCAGACTAACTGACTACTTCAACAACTCTTTAATTGATTAATTATAAAAGTGTGTACAACAGAAATTCTCACCATGCAGTCTCTTTTCCTAACAAGCATTTGTTTTGAGAAATATTTGTTTTCCTGCAACGATTAACTGACTGTGGTAAATGGTAAATGGCTGACAGGTTGGTGGTGATGGTGCACTTTTTATTGGATATAACAGTTGGTGACAGAATGAACCGTAGCACTGTGTCAATGGTATTGCTCTTGGGATATACTAAGTGCATAGACGTAGCATGTGATTTCTGGAGATTTTAGAGGTTTCACTGTGCTGGGGCATCGTTGATTGAAAGCTTATCGCTATCGATCAAAATTGCTCCAAAATCCGGCAGCAACAACTTTTATTCTTTCTATGATGAATAAAACACATGGATGTCAGAGAATCTCCCTGCACAATCTCTCCTCACAAGTATTTGTTGTGAGCAGCATCGTTTTCCTGGTAAATGCACAGTTTGCGCACTTGCAGCTATAAGTAACTACTGGTCAACTATTCAATTAGGCACCAACTATAGTGATAATTGATGAATCCGTTTGAGTAAGTTCCAGCCTCTAAAATTAGAATATTTTCCGTTTTTTGTAATAAAAACAAAAAAATAAACGTCAGTTGTAGCCCTGTTTCAGTGCAATCATAAATTCTGTTCTGCACATGGATGTCTGCGTGGACCCTCATCGACTCAGAAAGACGTCGAAATAACGTCAAGCTCAACTTTACGGACACACTGAAGTGGAAAGCCCGAATTGGCCTTAAGATTTGTCTCTGGCACGAAAATTAGTAAGGCACCCACCACACTGACTGGAAACTTTCTCAGACAATAACATTTGAATGTCTCAGTTACAATGTCTGCTGAAAAGCATTCATTCTGTAACTGTAAACCCAAAATCAGGGCAAAAAATGACATTGTGATTCAGAGTATCATATAAACTTCTGTTCATGGCAAGCAAGCTTCTGGCATCAAAATTGGCAGAGCGATTATCTTCACCAATTGTGTTTAACAGCTATTTTGGCTGATAGAACTTGGGCTTCAGAGCAAATTTTTTGCTACACTTTACAGCTGTCAGCAAATGAACCGTAAAGCCAAATTCATAAACTCACGCTGTACACATAAAGACTTTAAATTCACAGACGTCTGAAGGCCAAAAAGTCTCAAAGCTAACACTCTTTTGATTGTGTCCATGTTGTCAAGTGTGACTCCTTTCTTTCCAAGGTTAAAACTCAGTCAATTTACAATGCTGGTGTGAAAAAGCGCCAACAATTTCTGTTTTCAATAATTCCAGCACCAAAAGCACTGGTGAAGGGCTTGGTTTATAAATCCACACAGCTCCGTGGAAACTAAAAAAGAAAGTCTAAAGATCGTTTGAGGGTTTTAAGTTGGGACGTTGCCCCCGGATTTATAAAGTACGACGAGTGTGCAAAATATACATACCAGAGCCCATGTCGATGAAGGGGTAGTTGACCAGCACTAGTTTGTTAAAGTTGAACTTGTAGGTGAACCTTTTCCCTTTGGTCTTGTGAAGAATCCTCTTGTTGTAGTAGTATCTGAAGAAACAAGCAAAGAAAGACAATTAATGTCTTAAAAACTGATCACATCACTAGAAAAATGCAGAAAACCTCAGTTTACGGTCACATGTCGATTAAGCCTGATAATAAGGAGCAAAACCATCGATAAGGACGCTATTTATGCACATTTACCAGCAAAAACCACCGAGTTCCATAAAAACGTCAGCCTGCCAGAGATTGTTATTGAAAAACACCATCAACAAATCAACAAAGTTCACCATTTCTCTCTGAACCTGGAACATTAGGACAGTTGGCTCAAATGTGGACATTTAGCAATCCATTTGGCTGCAACAGTACTCAGCAGTCAATCAAATCTGTACTTTCTTCCAGCCCTACCAACGTGAAGCAGTCGCTGTGTGAGCGGTTCTGCGTAGCGGTGCAAAATGGATAGGAACATAATTAGAGGCATTAGAGGATTTGCCCTTTGGTGCCAAATAACACATTTTAAGTGTTAACCTTTTTTGTCCGTTCCCATACACATTGGTAATTTCTCAACACATTATGTAAATTATTGTAAACAGAAATAAAAGGTGCAGATAAGCATTTTGTTCTTTTTTATAAGGATGATCTGGGACTTAAAGTTAGTAAACAGTAGCTCTTCTTTGGCTATATTGTAAACAGTGTTAAATGTACTATTTCTGACCCCCCACTGCTTCGGTGTGACGCTGCCTGGTGCTGGAACACTGCAGGGAGGAAAGCTGGTCCGTCAAAGCACAGGATGAGCTCCTCTGAGACATTTTTAGTGCTTCAATTTGGAACTTTGATGCTCTGACGCCAAAAGCTCTGTTCCCAGACGTGCTTTGGCTGCACTCTTTGTTTGGTTGCTTTTTCACATCTCAGTGTTTCCCACAGGTTGAGAATTTTCATGTGGTGGTGGGTGGCGCGGCGTGACCGATATGCTTGCCAAGACTCTTGCAGTTTAGAGAGTGTAACCCAGTTTGTTTTCTAAAACTGCAATCTACAGATGTCCCCTAAACGCCTACCATGTATCTGTGGATGCTAATCGGCAGCTGTGCAGAGGGAAGCCTCTAGTCTCCTCACTCAGTTACTGCAGTGCAGCCAGATGTGTGAAGAAGTGAAACAAGGTGCTCCAATGTCAGATTTACCTGATTTGAAAACCAAGAGATTTCATCTACCTGGGTGGGCCATCCAAACACACAACACACAGAGCTGCTAACTAGCAGGCATACATGTGCGACCCATAAAAATGTATAGTTTTGTTGTTTACACACTGGAGCGCCATGAAAATAGCTGCATTAAACCTCTGGTTCACCATTAAGTTTTCAACTGATTTAGACTTCCATATTTAATGTTGGTTGTTTTTGTGCACTGTATGAACCCTCTAAACAACAAACCTGAAGGCAGACTTGATGCATGTTTATAAAAAATGACTCCATTCATCAGATCCAGAAACTGTAAAAACAGAGGGAATCATTGGACTTGTAGGGAGGATTTACCAAATCTAACCTTAAAATTGTGATATTTGATCAAAATCACAATGTTCTACATGTGGGATTTAGAACCAGATCCTACTAAGAACACTAAGGTCTGCACCAAGTCAGACTAGTCAGCTGAACTGCAGCCTGTTTTCCGACAGAACAAATAGGAGGCGGTACGGAAACAAATTGAAAATGTAGGTAGGAAAAAATCTATAGTATGTAGAGCCACCATTTCCCCGCAGTATTAGTAACATGTGTGGGCACTTTATGAGTAATCGAGGAAATGTATGATTTATAGCACTGTAACTTTGTAATACTGCACAGAGGACATTTTTTAGTTCTCTCTAGTTCTAGTCATGTTTGTACTGTTTCCATAGAGGTGCAATTTATACTGAAAATGAGCCCACGGTGAGCTAAAAACGTGACGGGAGCAAAACCACGCCCTGAGACTACTTGGGGTTTAGAGGGTTAATGAATCAGTGTTTTCTAGGTGGCCACGGCGCATTAAAGCAACAAAACAATGTAATGTTACAAAAGCCAAAAGTGAAACATCAGAAACCGCAGTGTGGCTGTTGAAAGCACTACCTGCATGGTAATTTCACATGAGTCAGAGCGCGGCACACAATTAAACAAGCTGTTAACAATGTGAACACAAGGCTGAATTCAAACTCTGACTGTGATTACTTAAGGAAGTGAGACAGCCGCTCAGACTTAGTCTTACCCAGGCGGCTCCATTAGCATGAGTGCATTAGTCATCATCAATACACCGGGTAATGTAGAGGAGTGAATAGCGAGCCACTGACGGCTCATCTAAAAGACAATAAAATGGCTCCCTGTGACTCACCGACTAAACCACATTCATATTTCTTTACATAAAAACTTCCAAATCAGTGTCTCTCATTGAGCTGCTACTGTCCACTTCATTGTGAGAAATCTAATACATCAGGATCAAGCAGCGAGGTGGCCACTGGATGCATCTGTACATCAAAATTTATCTGAATACAAGTAATAAGTTTGCTGTTGTTGTTAATCATTTCTGATTGAGCCGCTCTCCAGCGGTGGTGGAGGCTGAATGTTACAATGATAACAGGTGAGCGCTTCAGCTTGTGTAACTGCCCTTTATGCACCCATCGATCTGTTTTTCTTTATACATCCATTCATCCAGCAGGATCGATAGTTTATTTGTGGCCAAATACATAACATACACATGATGCAACAGACATGGTTTATCATTAATAACGTGCAGGTAAAACTACAGTTTATACGGAGGGCCGAATATTAGGGGAAAAAAGGCAGGATTTTTACAGTTTTCACAAAATCAGTCACACTCGTAGTGACAGTTACAAAAAAACACAATGATCGCATTAGTCATAACGACGAAGCTGCATCCCTGCTCCAGCGTGAACACAACATTAGTCACTGGAGTTCGGTACAATGAAAAACAAAGTAGAGCCGGAGTGTGTGAACCAGGAGCTCATCCAGCCCCTCAATGACTCAATGAGTGAAGGGCCTCTTCTGACAGAGCCGACTGCTACGCTCACCCACGCTCTCAGATGTAATACAGGCGCGCACACACACACAACAGGCAAATAAACAGCAGGCACAAAGGCTCGAACGCACAATGGAGGCAGAAAACATATGCAAGTGACGACAAACCCATTGAGCACACGCAGAACGGATTAGAGCGGTAATTTGAACTGCTTCAGCAGCATATAGCGGTGGAAGAAAAACATTGATCATTAAGTAAATCTGAGGAAACTCAAAAGAACCAAAACTAAAAACTCTACGTTTAATTCTGCTTTTCCGACCGTTTAATTATTTATGTATGAACCTGTAAGAAGTGCATGAATTGCACCGAGTGTCCAGATGCTATCACGCCTTCTGAGTCACGAATGAGATTATTTTCTGGATCAGCAAGTGCATTTTTTAACACGTCATGCTCATGTGAACACACAACCGCTTTGACACTACAGCTATGCATTGAGATTAAGGGGATTATTCCTCACTGAGGTATGTTTAGTTTGTCTGTAAGCAGGATAATACAAAAACTACCAGGACAAATGTTGTGAGTGAAGAGGTGGAGCATGAGGACTTAAATCTTGATGAGGATTCAGATCACTTTCTTTTAAGTTTTAAGACGGAGAATTGGCTTTGGTGGGGAACCGCGCACACTAGTTACTTTTGAGAGTAACGGCGGTAGCAAAACTGTATTTTGTACTATGATGACTAAACTTCCAAGAATTTCGCATGTATTCCAAACCATGATTGAAGATTGTTGCTTAGTAATTATTGTAATTATTATCAAAACTGCAACATAGACAAGTACAATATCCAAATTGCAGATGCAACAATTTCTTGTGAAAGCTAAAATGTGGCACAACACACCATAATAACTGAAACGCTGTGATGCAACCGCGTGCAAATCATCAAAGTTCTTGCTTGCTACTGACCACAGCACACATTACATCATTTTTATACCATATTTAGTGGAAAGCAAATGCAAAAATTGCCATTGAGAAAAATTGTGAGGAATGAAAAAAGAAATCGCAAAATTTAATCATAATACTCACATTATGATTTCTTTAGCATGTAGTTTAACTTTGGTCTGTTACATTCCTAACATACAAATATTAATTATATACAACTCGATCAAATGCATCTGGTTTTCAAATGTTTATTGTGCTTTCCATCTAGTCAATCTAAAAAAAATGTTGGTGTGAAGTATGAACCTTTGCCAAAAAAAACAAACAAACAAAAAACCATCCTTAAATTCATTTCAGCATTTTAAATCTTTGCGCAGGCGCAATGGGGTCGTCTAACGGTTTGGTCGATTATTGGATCCAGTATCTGCCTGTCTTTGTCTCAAGTCACCATTCACAGCAGCGTTTGATTGGTTACACTTCATCAGTGTTAGCCAATCAAAACTGAGGGATAAATGTTCCAAAAGGTTTCCGTTTGGAAGTTTTGTGTTGCTGTTATTATAAATTTTAACACAAAAATTTTCATTTTTACAACAATCTGGTGTCAGATGTCAGTTGTTGGTCACATTGATTGATGTTCATTTGTAATGGCCCTAAAATAAACATACAGGTGGAACTTAAAAAGTGAACAGCAAGATGGAATACAGGCAAAACCGACTGCATTCAAAAAAACGGGGAAAAAACATCAAAACAACACAGTTTATGCTACACACACTCTCTGAGGTGAACTGCAGCATTTGTGTGGGTGTTAACAATATCAGGGCAGTATACGCAGCAAAAGCTGGAAGGACATAATGTTCACAGACGCGATAGATGGATGGTACTTTGAACGTGTCGGGGGAAAGGCCAGGCACATACATGTGAAAGCAACACAGACACACATTCACACAGCACTGAGTCAATACGGGACAGCCGGCCTCACATACCGGGGCCAGGCTCGCTCGAGGCCTCCGGGCTCTTTGAAGACCATTTGAACTTCCTTCAAATAAACGAGAAAAGACTGTATAGACTCGGCCTCTATAGACTGAACACACACGTAGACGTGCAGGAACACAAGCTC